AACTTCCCAAATAGCATCGTAGGAGACTGTGCCCAAATATCTGTTGGAATCCATCGTGGCCGCCCAAATCGGAATTCGCCAATCCTTCCCTTTTTCAATGCGAATTGTTCGCGCGAGCGACTGGTCAAATGTTGGATATGTTTCCCGAAATGCAGCCTGCTTCGGAGGTTGAAACCTGTCGGGCAAGGATTTCAAACGATTGCGCAGCAATCGACGACGCAACTTGCACATTATCGGAATGATGCACGTCGGTCTGCAATTCTGCGGTGCAACCGCATCCCCAGATTTGAAAAAATGCTGCTCTGAATGCGGCGCCCGTTCTCCCAAGTGGGTGATTGATTCCGGCATCAAGATAGCGTTGTACAGTTCCAGAAGTGCGCGTCGCATGATTCCCCGATACTTGAGCATTTTTGCTGCAATGCAATCTGTGTGCCATGGCTCACCTGTCTAAACCCCGTGGACAGCTCTGCGTTACTGAAAGGAGGAATGCCGGGCATGGAGATAAATCGTTGGTCGCTGGCGTCTGCGTGCGTCGCTACATAAGGCTTCTCGTAGAAATCTGCTAATACGTCATCAACCGCACGCTGGTCATATACCTCGCTGCCACCAGAAGGCTACATAGATGTGAAGTCATCCTTGCGCTTCGCATCCTCGATGCCGGAACCCCCTCTGAACTTTTTCAGAATATGATCAATGCGAAACTTGTGATTGTTGCGTTGCTGCTTCTGATAGAAAGTGTTGGATTATTGCTCACATCTCGTCGTTATAATGTGTTGTCTGCTGGTCGTGCCCTCCGCTGCACTATCAAACAACGAAGTATACCACAACCACGACGCTTGCGTCAACTGTTGCCTTCGCTCGTTGACGGCACCCGCTTCGCATCCTGCATCGCACTTTCGATCCCCACAAACAGCGCCTCCGCTCTAGGGTCGCCTGGTGTCACCTGCAAGCTTCTCTCCAGATCGGTAGCATACTGTTGAGTATCACGAGGTATATTGTCAACAATGTTTCGTTTGCGCCTGGGTTTTCTCGTGCTCGTGTTCGGGCTAACGCCTGCTTGCGAACAATGTTGCTTTGTAGCTGCGCTGCTCGATGGTCAGACCCCAGATCGACGGCGCCGTTCGCCACGCAATCTGTCGCTGTCTCCCAAAAACGTCGACACGCGATGAAATAGTCCAGCCGTTGTTCACCATGTTTGGTGAGCTGGCACGTATGAGGAACCCCCAGCGGTTTGTTGAACATTGTATTTGCTAGTGCCAAGCGTTCGGGAACAACCCAATTATTCAACCACTGTCCACGTGTATCCCTGGTCCCACGTGCATGTGTACCGCACGCCGTTGGATGTTCGTATTCCGTCGCAAGCGACACCGATTACGGTATACCATGCTCGTCGCAAGGCTTCCGGGGTCAAAATAGACAGGGCGGAAAAAATAGGCTGTACGTGGTCGTCGGAGAACTTGGCGTGGGAAATAAGCAGCGACGAACCAGATTTTCAATGAGGCGTGGAATACGTCCATATAAGCAATGCTGGTACTGATTGGTATGAACTGCCGGTTGTATCCTGCCCAGCGGGACTGCAAGAGAATACCAACTCCATGTTTGTGCGAACCTGCCCTGGACCGTGCAAACACATGTCCTTCGTCAGTGGTCCACATCTCCCGTCGCTGCGGGCACATCGTTTCGCTGAGTAGTATGTCGTCCCGATATCTTCCAGCAAGCTCCGCCAGTACTTCAAAAACTGCAGCGTCTGTTGTCAGGCCCCTCGCATTCCTCTGGATGACGGTGAGCTTTAGCGAGCTGGGGGGCGAAGGATCGGGGATTGGCGAAGAGGGCGACATGGGGCATGGGCTACAATTGATGCGTGGGAGAGGGTAAGGTTGGGGGTGAGAGCGGGGAGGGCGGCGAAGGTGAATGGGGAGGGGACGAGGGGGATGCGCAATGTATTGTCCTGAAGCCCTCGAAAGGCCTCCTCTTCCTCCTTCTCCCTGTCCCTAGAGGGGAGCAGAGAAAACGAGGAATAGAAGGATGAGAAGGAGGAGGAGGACGAGGAGGAAGAGGCGGACGACGACGACAAGTTCTGGAGGTCTCTGAAAACCTGAAGAAGTCCTGGGACGTCTTCGAAGGTTCCCGGAGACCACAGAAGGAGCAAGAAAAGCCAAAACGTCAAAAACCGAGATCCTCGACCCACCTCCTCGAAACTCGATCCTGGAATCCCACCCGTCCTCTGGGCATGAATGGTTTTGAGATTTTCTCTTTTCCAGCCCCCTTCTCCCCCTTCTGGGAGGGGCTTATCACTGTTCCACATGAGGAAATACCCCTCCCCCACCCGACCGGCAACCAATTTGGACCCATGAGGGCACCCATGACAGCACCCCCCAACCATCCGTCAAAAATCATACACTTTGCCCCAAAATCTGGAGCATGCGCGGGCGCCCCGCGACCACTTCGCATTGGTGTTGAACCGGGACGGCGGGGGTGCCAGCATATTGCTTGCTGCGCG